AGCCGCCTCCCTCGGCGCAGAAAGCCTCCCCCAACCAGCCGGCCGGTCTCCTCCTCCTCGGTCACACAGAACAAACAGGCAGAGAAGGAGGAGAGCAGCTGGCCAGCCGGGGGAGGCCTCCCGTGCTGCGAAAGAGGCAGCCAACGATGTCTGGCGCCGTCCCGCTCCACGCGCTGGCTGCTCGGACTTGCCGGGCCCGGCACATAGAACAGGGCAGTGCTGGATGTTGGAGAAGCTGAGCGGAGCCGAAGCGACCTCGGCTCGCGTTGTTTTCTGAGCCCGCGAGCCTAGAGCCAGGGCGCTTTCATTGCACGGCGGAGCTTCTTGTCTCGGGAAAAACCGGGCGTCGTTGCTGCCCCCTGAGGGGAGGGCGATTCTGGGCTGCGCGATTGGGGGACTTCGTGGCTTTGGGTGGGAGCGAGGACGGACGGAGTCTGTGAAGCGGGGCTTGCCTGCCCTTGCTGGCTGCCTCTGCTTCCTTAGGGGCGGGGAAGGGGGCTCATCTGGACCAAGGGTGAGTCTCCCCCTCAGTTTCCCCTGAAGGATCTTCCGTCGCTTTTGCCTTCTCCCTACATCTTCCCTCTGTTAAAATTTTTCCCCCCCCCCCCCGCACACACTTATTTTCGGGCGGATAGATTTCGTGTCTGAGCATTCTCACATGATGGTGGGTCTTTCCCCCCCCCTAAAAACAGTTAAAAAAAGAAAAAACAATATATCCTCATGCAAGAACTTTTCTGCTTCCGATTACCCCCATGCTTAAAAGTTGCAAAGGAAACACGGAAGCAGGGAAGCGCCTGCCCAGCTCCGGAGCTCCACACCATTTTTTTTCAGAGGGGAATCTGACTCGAGTATAAGCCGAGGGGGTTTTTTTCAGCACAAAAAATGGGCTGAAAAACTCGGCTTATACTCGAGTATATACGGTAGTTTATTTTATGCATGGAGGATGTTTGATAGAAGCTTCACTTGGTTCTGATGGATCAATGGATTATATTTCATAATCAATGTTTTCACACTTTAATAGTATCTAATACTTTAAAAGTATTTGATAACATTTGTTTGTTCTTCCCAATTGGGATTTTGGGAATTACAG